AAATTACTTCCGTTTTTCAAGATTTATTTATTTATGCATACAAAACTGGGGTACAGGCCAGAGGTGCAGGAGTTTTGAGAGGATTTACAGAGTCAGAATAAAGAGCAGAAATGGCAGATCAATGAAGTACACTGTTGAGTGAGCAGCAGGAGAGACAGAAGTCTGCAGAGCCACATGGATCACCTCCCTGGCTGGGGATCAAATTCATGCTGAAGTGGTTGAGGCTAGATTCATAGTGCTGCACTCTAACCCTTTATGACACCAGGGAGGGCCTTACTTAACTTTTTTAACTTAAATTTTTCCAACTTTAAAAAAGTATTTGTGACAACAACCCACTAACTTTATCATGGGAATCAATTGTTGGAAAGCTTTAGAATAAAGTAAAAAACTCAACAAATGGTCTCCCTTTTTACATGAAATCATAATAACACCATGCATTTAAAACAGTTGAATTTCTTTTTTGTATTGTTGAATGATAGTATTTATGAAATTATTGTAGTTACTAATCAGCATATTATTAAATAGTAGTTTAACTATTTAAATAAATAAGCAATTCTGCAAAAAAAAGCAGAATGCTTATTTGCTTATACCAGTGTCATTTGAGAAATGTGCTGTTTTCTTAATATTGTTACCTCAGTAGGTTTTGCTTTTTCTAAAAAAAAAAAAAAAAAAAAAAAAAGCTTTCCACTTACAGAGTTGGTTGCATAAACTATGTGATTAATCATTACCGTGGTTTTAAATGTATTCATATTCACCCATCCCAATGGGAACAGAACTTTTTGTTGGGTCTTCTTTAAACTTTGGCTTCTCCAACTGAATAGTGTAATTCACTTTTAGGGACATACCTTCTTTACATAGACCTTGAACTCTCAACTTAATTCTAGAAATAAAACAACAGTACCAGAATGTTCCAGAATAAATCACTGATACCTTTTATAGTTGCACAGAAGCTATATAGTTTAGAGTTGCAAGCTTCTGGTCTATTGAACTGTGGTATTCAAGAGCTTTCAGCTAAATGCTAATTATTGATCTGATAAACATTCTATGTTTTGAAGGTAGTTATCTTTAGAGAAAATTGTTTACCTTTTTTTCCCATCAGAACTATTCTTGATTTGAAAAAATTGGACATACATCAAGTCTTAAATCAGAGTATAATGGGTATGGTAAGCCATTGATGCAATGTATAATAGAAATTTTGTTCTCCCAAAATATTTTTGCAAGATCCTGCAGAGAAACTTCATCTCTCCTTCTTAAACAAACAAACAAAAACCTGAATAGAACAGGAAGAAAACTGAGAAAATTTGAACACATTCTCATTTTAAAGCAGTTATATACCAAGAAGTATTAATTAATAGAGAAGGTATTCTCAAGTTATTTTGTCATTTTAAATCATGGAGCTGATGGTATAAGCAAGAATTACAATAAGGATATGATCAATTCTGAGTAAAAATATTTCCTTTATTTATTGTTTATTGTGAAGCCATCTTGTGCTTAGTTGATATTTTCATCAGAGGTACTAACTTGCTGAATTTCACATATTTACTTAAGCCTGTAACTTGCCTATTTCAAAAACAACTTGAGGTGACATATAAAAAAAAAAGGTAAAGTAAAACCAAAAACTATAGTTAAAAAATATATACAATGGAATATTACTCAGCAACCAAAAAAGAGAAACACATGTCTTTTGCAGCAACTTGGATGGAGCTGGAAAAGATCATGCTTAGTGAGATAAGCCAGAAAGAGAAAGAAAAATACCAGATAGTTTCACTCAGAGCAGGAGTATAATGGACCAGGCGAGAAAATAATCAGAATAATGAACAGCCATATACCAGAGACATTTTGTGGGGGTGGAGTGGGGAATGGGATCAAAAATGGGGGTGGAGGGAGGGAAGTGCACAGGACTATGGTGATGGCACACGGGTGACTTGGTGATGGGAAATCCACGGGGATTACAACTGAGATAAAAAAAAATGATGTAAAAATAAACTGTTAAAAAAATCTAAATAATTCATTTGGTTTGCATTTCATTACAACTTTTTGATCTTTTCTTGATATAAATGTATGTCTACCTACTTTAAATTTACTTTTATTTTTATATTTGCTTTTTTCATTAATTGTTTACATTGTTGTGATGCAATAGTCAGGCTGCCTATGTTCAGCTACCAATTCATGCATTTGCTAGTGTCATAAATAAGCCAGTTAAAGCGGTAAGGAAATATTTTTCTTCCATAATAACTACTGCTAGAAAGATCATCCACTATGATCTCAACTCTGTTTTGTCAAAAGAAAAGACCAGAAGTGCTTTGAAAGCCTGTAGAAGGGAACTATTAAGGGCAAAACACTGAGGGATCAAAGGGACCTTACTACATGTGACTGGTCCATAAACAGAAAAGTAAAATTCTCTTTTCTCTATGAAAGGAGACAATGATGCAAATTAGAGCAAGGTATTGATTTGACTGAGAACCAGAATGGACTACCAGAAGACAGTTCTGGAGGGTAGAAGGTTTACATCTCAAAGAGGCAGAGTAAACATTTGTAATTTTAAGTCTTCTAAATAATTACACTGTGAAAGGATTTAGGAGCCATCTACCAATTACCAGGTTTTGGCCAGAACAATCAGCTAAAGTTACTCAGCTATAGTTTGCCTCAGTTTTCTCTTCTGTAAAACAGGGGTTTTAATACCTGTATCATAAGAATGTATTTTTGGAATGAGAGGAATTAATGCATAGAGTGTTTAGAACAGGTTTGACATGTAGTAAGCTCTCAATAAATATTATTTTTTTTATCTTGAAGGTTGAGTTTCTATCTACCATATTGGATTGTTTTAGTTATTAAGTAATACAAGTAAAACATTGAGAACTGTGTCTAGCATTTAATGACATTCAATGACTGTTAACCAGTAATAGTGTTAGTAGCAGAAACAGCTATAGTAGTCGCTAACTTCTAGTTCTGAATTATACAAAGCATTACTCAGGATGTTTGAATAGAAGTGAATCTTGAGCTTATTGTTTTTCACATTAGTATGGAATAGATAGATTTTGTAAATCGGTCATTCAGAAATTGGAAAGGGTATTTATGAACAACCCTACACACATGGTTGTAAATTTTTTTAAAGATTTATTGACGCATACAAGAACTGGAGTGTAGCTAGAGGTGCCAAAAGAGAGTGGATTCACCAGATACAGAGTTGATTGCCGAACAGGCAGATCTACTTACTGAAATACACTGCTGAGTGAAGCAGTGGGCAAGACAGGAGAGGTCTGTTGTGCCATGTGGGTCACCTTCCTGGCTAAGGATTGAATTCTTGCTGCAGTGGCTGCAATAGCTTCATAGTGCTGAGATTTAACCCATTGATCCACCAGGGAGGTCCATGATTATAAAATCCTTAAACATCATTTTGTCAATGTATTTCTTAGGGTTGGATACACAGTTCCCTTAGACTTAATATGTTTACTATATAGCATTCAACTTTTTCCAGTCCATTTCCTGCTTAGTAAAATCGGGTAAAAACTGAATAATCAGAAAGTCTGTAAGAAATGAAACAATTTGCTTAAATGGAAATAACAATGGTATGTAAAATAAAGTAGTAGTAAAGAATGAATATTTTCTGTAATTTTCATATTAAGTTACTTATTTGATACTTATCTGTACCCTCTTTTCTCCCTACATAGAAATAAGTAAAGAAGAGATACAAATTCATACTTTTCCAGTGCTAACACTAAGGTTTAGAGAAGCCCAAATGATCTCTGCTCATGTTAGAAGAGTCTCTTGATTCCAGTGGTATGCAATAATAATCCATGAAGTTTGAATTATTCAATGAGTTCAGCAGCTATTTGTATTGGCATATTATCACCATAGCTCATCATTCACCACATACGGATTTCCATTAAGAAGTAGAATGAAAACATCAACAGAAGCCCATTCTCCTTAAATTGCAATTTTAGACCTAAAATTTTTGATATTCATGTATTTGATAGTGGAAAAATGTCATTTAGGTAAGAGAGCAATAATGGAAATGGAAGAATAATTTACATTATTGCTGATTTTTTCAGTATATACTAAATTTTTTCCTCTATAAAAGTATGGCTTATTATTTTTTTAGATTTTTTTAAATGTTCATTTATTTTAATCATGGTAACATTGGCATACAGCACTGTAAATGAATAATACAAATATAAAATTATGTTTTAAGACTAACTTTCTATTCATTATCTTTTTGTCATTAATATTTGGGGCAGTTATAAAATGATTGAGGAAATTAAACATTTAGTCATACATATAGCAAAGAGGGTCAAAACCAACTGCTACCTTTTTATTTATTTTATTATTATAATAGTTTATTTTTACATCACTTCGTACTTTTTTCCATCTCAGTTGTAATTCTCGTGGGCTTCCCATCACCTGATCACCCGTATGCCATCACCATAGTTCAGTGCACTCCACACCCAAGCCTCCCACCCATTTTTGATCCCATTCTCCACTCCACCCCCATACAATGTCTCTGGTATATAGTTGTTCCGTATTATTATTATTTCCTCCCGCTTGGTCCTTTCTGGTCCTGCTATGAGTAAAACCATCCGGTGTTTTTCTTTTTCTTTCTGGTTTATTTCACTAAGCATGATCCCTTCTAGCTCCATCCATGTTGCTGCAAAAGGCATTTCAACTCCTACCTTTTTAAGATCAAATGCATTTAATAATTTCATTGTTTTTACCAAGCTTTTAAAATGTTACCTCTTAACTGTGATAGTCCTAGAAATACCATTCTTGATAACTGATTATATAATAGAATTGGAAATAATTTAGGAAAGATTGTTAGAAAAACAACAAGGGTCCTTAGTGCTAGACTTAGCCCATCGGCCCACCACCCAACTTTTACCAGGCAGCTTCCCCTCACTGGACCAGTAGCTTGTTTCAGCTATAGTCCAAGCTTTTAATGGTTATTATTTCTTCATTGCTAGCAACAGTTTAATTTGGATTTTGTATCTTTCTTTCTTTAATAGTCGGACACGTACTTCTGCATGTCAATGCGCTTGCCAATGGATGAAGAAGCCTTCGTGAGTAAGTATTGATTGGATGGTGTAGGGGGTGGGCAGTGGAAGGAAGGACAGCTATTTGAAATCAGTGAAAGGTTCTTTTTGATGGTCATGAACATATTAATCTTTTACTGTCAGTTCCTCAAATGTATTTATCATGCCTAATGTGGAAAAAAACTAGAGCGCACTACTGAGAGACAAGATTACAAACTGTATCTGGAGAGATTCATGAGTAATAGTAGTTAAGTTGTTGCATGCATATGTCGATGGTCGCCAATGCCTCGCAGTCCCATTTGTATAGTATTGGCTTTCTGTCTGTGTCTGGATGCTTAATTCCGCTCTGCTCAACAGACTGTTTATTTACCTGCCGGTTCATGCTATAAATTGACTGCAGTTAGACTCAGCATTGGAGAATGTAAGATTTTACCTGTCAGACAGGTAGACAGATAGGAAGGAAGGAAGGAGAGCTTGAGAGAAGAAAAGAAGGGGGTGGGGGGGAAGGAAAGAAAGAAGAAACTTTGAATCTGTTGTTTATATTATAGAATGAAAAGAATCTTAAATGACAGTTCCTTCCCCCAAATGAGTCTTTAAATCAGACAAGAAAAGTGACAAAGCACCATCTGTTTTCATCTAAGTTGTTTTAATTTAAACATCCCTTATGACAGACTTTAACTGTTTAGGGAAGGGGTGACAGGCAAATTATTCATGGCTTTGTTCCTCACTTTCACTTCACTTCAGCCTCTCTGGTTTGAGATGTTGATTTTCAGGAGATCTTGGTGGTAATGAGGGTTGTACTTTGGTCCCTTGAAACTAATCTTCAAGTGGGCTGTCTGAGGTGACTATTATGTGAATTGTAAAATGTATACAGTAGCCTTCAGGCCATCTGAGGATGAATTTTCATGAGGTGTACCCCACAGGAATATACGTCACCGACCTGCTAAGACAGAACAATGTGCATTTCTTTCCCCACACGCTTTGGTGGGGAAACAGAAACAAAACAGAAAATAACAACCAATAACAGCACTCTCTAAGCAAAATTTGCTCATGCTCAATTTTAGGAATGAAAGTCAGAGTTTGGGATGTTAAGTATTGCCTGATTGTTCCTTTGTATAATATTTAAACATTAACAAGAAAAAAGTAAGGAAGGATAACACTTCCAGATTCTGAACTTGAATGAAAGAAAATGATTGAAGTTCCTAACTGTATAGGGCTTTAATAACACCAAATATGATTTAGGATGTAAATTCATCATGAAAACATTAACAGTAAAGTTTTGCTCATTTTCTCCAAAAAAATGGGTTAGGGAAAAGACACAACTGGCAAGCTGACACCTAGACTGAGGCAGACAGCAGAGGAGAGGAAGGGTGAGGGGCCAAAACAGTGCGGGGGAGGGTGCCAGGGACCATGAGGGGGGAATGGATCACAGATACAGGGTGGTGGGAGGGTGCCATGAGGGGGGAATGGATCACAGATACAGGGTGGTGGGAGGGTGCAGGGGAGGGTGCCAGGGACCACGAGGGGGGAATGGATCACAGATACAGGGTGGTGGGGGTACTACAGGGGCCACAGCTGAGGAGAGCAGCACAGGAAAAGGTATTTACTCATAACAGCTTTTCCTTTCCTTTCCCCCCCCCCCCTAGTTCAGGTATAGATATATTTCCTTCTGTTTCATACTTGCTCTGAAGAGAAGGCTACTCTGCACACCTAAATAAATAAGATAGTTATATTTCACAGCAGTGTTAAGGTCACATGTTAACTGGTTACTGGTGTGTTTCTGCTAGTTGGGGGGTAGTATATGATTTCAGAACTGAAAACGCTAAGGTCAATAAATATATATCCTGGGATGTGTTACTGCTCTTTTCGTGTAAGTGTGTTTACTTTCACATAATTTAAAATTGAAGAGGGTAAGTGAATATATTCAGTCAAGAAAAATACTCAGAGGAAGCCCATCAAGGGCTGTATTAGAGCAAAGTGTTAAATATTTCTACATTTTCTTAGGTAACAGTCTTCTAAGATTAAACTGCTCCCTGTTCTAAGGTCCTCGAAGGGTCATATAAGGTTAATAACTGTTTTCAGTACTTCTTCTTTTCCTTATGGCTGAGAGGATTGCATGATTACTGAAGTTTGTCACCTGTTCAAAACAGCCTTGTTTCATCTTCAGTAAGTCCTTTAACGTGTTACCTTTAATACAGTACTTTTAATACACTCTCCCAAGTGATTTGTGGGGAACATTGTGCACATAAATCCAGCCATCACGAACATTTGGGGTAGACAAACTAGAATTAGAAAATTGAAAACCAAAGAGAAATTCTAGTCACTTATGTAATGAAATAAATGTGGGGAATTTTCTGTGTATTATCTTATTAAGTCCTAGATTAGCTCTGTAGGGCATCCCATTTTATAGTCAGATAAACGAGACAGGATCATCCTGTTATCACCTTGCAATCAGCCATTACTTTCTCAGGATCCACAAAACACTAATATAGCAAAATCTCAGCATATTTAAGGCATTTTAGAGAAGAAGAAACAGAGGGTTAGAGAGGTTAAGAAATGTACCCACACTCTTTGCGAGCTAGCTGTTATCCTGTTTGCATGCAGTTTAGGTCATTAGAAGTGTGGTGGACGGACAGCAATGCAGAAGTTCGTTTCAGAAAGAAGGAAAGGAAAAAGATGTGGATGCATGGTTCTAAGGAGGTTGCTCTGACATTGCTGTTTCAAACTCCTAAAGTGGAAGTTTTGTTGTTGGTAACCATAGTTTTCCAAGAATGATGCTTTAGCTTTTCTGTGGCTTCTGGATCTCAGGATAATTTATCACAAGATTGCGTTGTTTTTTTTTTTTTTTTTAAAGATTTTTTTTTTTTATTTGTGCATACAGAACTTGGGTACAGGCCAGAGGCTCAGGGGCGGCGAGAGGCTTCACCAGAGACAGAGTGGGGAGCAGAACAGGCAGATCTACGAAGTACACTGCTGAGGGGAGCAGCGGGTGGGCCAGGAGAGGTCTACCACACCATGTGGTCACCTCCGGGGCAGGCGGGAATCAAACTCATGTGGAAGTGGCTTTAGCTTCTCAGTACTGTACTTTAACCCTCTGCGTCACCAGGGAGGGCCAAGATTGCGTTTTTTGAAAATAATGACATGTAAAGGCCTATAATTCTTTGTTTATTCTTTTTTTTTAAAGATTTATTTATTTATTCATACAGAACTGGGGTACAGGCCAGAGATGCGGAGGGTGAGAGGATTCACCAGAGACATAGTGGGGAGCAAAACAGGCAGATCTATGAAGTACAATGCTGAGGGGAGCAGCGGGCAGGTCAGGAGAGGTCTGCTGTACTATGTGGATCTCCTCCGGGACAGGCAGGGATCGAACTCATGAGGAAGTGGTTTGAGCTTCTTAGTGCAGTGTTTTAACCCACTGCGCCACCAGGGAAGGCCCTGTTTATTCTTTTTTAAAGACACTTGTCATTTTGTACCTCTGCTCTTATTATCTGTACCCTTTAAACTTTTGAATGTCAGCAAGTTTGTACCATAGCACGTGGTGGGAACTCAGTGACTGCTTGCTTAATACATAAATGAACACTGAAAAAGTGTTTGTTCCTCATTTTCAAAGGCAAATACCCAATTTTAAATAACATTTTAAGTTACATCCTTGTCTGAATATAAGGGAACAGTTGTTTTTTAAGGAAAGCCACTTGTTCATAAATTCATGAAACTTTCAAAGTTCTGCTGTATAAAAGTTACTGGGCAAGGCTATGGGGATGTCAGATATGACACAAAATCAAGAAAAATCACAGCCTGGCAGAATTCCAGAAGATAAGAACACAAATGTTAAAACATGCAAAAAAGGACTTTCTCCTTTTGCTTTTCAGATTTTGCAAGAAAATCACAAAAGGAAGAATACAATTCAGGTTGTTTAATTAGGACAAAACAAGCTTTTAATGGCATTAAAACCCAAAATTGCACTTGAATAATTCATAATTTTGGCTTTATGTTGTGTGACTAATTATATCTCATTTTAGATAAAAATACCTCTTAATTTTGTGATAGTACCATCACAACTGTCATGGAATTGCTATGCACATATGCCTGTCATATTTACATGAGCATAAACAACATCTTTTATGTATTTCTATGGCTGCATTGAATTTTAAATGCAAATTAAAGTAGATATTTGGGGAAATACTGTAATGAAGAGAAATGTAATTTTTATGTTTTGAACAAAAGCTTTCCTTAGATCATTGCTTTGCTTACTGTTTTAATAAAAATCATAGTCATGGACTGGGTAAAGGTGGGATAAAATCTGCATTGGCCACTGAACTGTGATGCTGTCTAAAAGGTGTTTTACAGACACTCAGAGGAATTGACTCTGACAGCAACCCACTCAGCCAAGAAATTTGACTGTCATCTTCATCCACTTGCTTTACCTCACATGGATGACCAGTAAATAAATGTGTCTTTTCCTTAGTGAATGATGGCAGGTCCCTATCTATCAAATTGCACTATACAAATGAGACAGAAGCCACTGAATTTAGAAATAGATGAAATTAATCTAATGATTCATTGCTTTTCATTTTCTTGGGCTTCTCTCTTGAATGTAGAAGAATTTCTATTGTGAAATTACATAGTTAGTCTTGAATGGTCTGAATGTCACTGTTCTTAAACAAAACCCATATTATGGTGCTGTTAGGATAATTCAAGCACTGCCAGGCAGTCTAATTTTGATCATATATAGGGGTCAATCAGTGGTGTGACTACAAAGACCAAGGAAGTCACAGTGTTCATGTAGCCTCACAATATACACACTGTAACTAGAAAGAGGAGTGTGAGTGTGAGAGGGAGAGAGAGAGAGTTGTCTGTAATCTTGTCTCTCTTCTGTCACCTAGAGTTTTTTCCAGCATTGAATATCTTCCAGTAGGCACCCAAAAAGCTGTTCCAGTTTCTGAGTGAAAGTTAGTTGAGAGAGCTAAGAAGCATAAATAAGACAACACAAAAGTATACTAGAAGTCTTTGATTAAGTGGATAAAACCT